AAAAAAAAAAAAAAAAGAAAAAAAATGACAAGATGTCCATCCCTTAGCTCCCTTCCCTCCCCCCTCCTGCTGCTCCCTCAGCCCTCCCCAGGATTGAACCCTGGCTGGGGCGAGGTTGCAGGACAGCCCCTCTCAGATGAGGTCAGCAACATTGAGGGGCATCTCCTCGATGGAGGTGTTGTAGAAGGTCTCAATGTCTCGTAGAGTCCTCTTGTCTTCTTCTGTTACCATGTTAATAGCCACACCCTTACGGCCAAATCGTCCACCACGGCCGATTCTGGAAAACAGTAAGGGAGTAAGATAGTAAGTCAGAAGCTCCAGCCCAGGGAAGCTTGGGCGAACACTCCACATCTTGGCCTACCTGTGGATATAGTTTTCCCTGTTGGTGGGAAGGTCATAGTTGATGACTAAAGAAACTTGTTGCACATCGATGCCTCTGGCCTGCATTGAGAGAGGAAACTTCAGCATGTGTACAAGGACACAACCTGCCCAGAAGAGACTTCAACATACATGTAGGCGGCCCAAGGCAGGCAAAGGAAATTGGCATCCCTGACCCCAAAGACTTTGGGCATGCCAGATTTTTTTCCAAGTTGCTACTTTCCTGAGAGGGGCACTAACATAGCCCCTTGGAGAGGGAATCACCTTGGATTCACCCTTCTTTCCAGTTCTCTAAGTTCTCCTTTACTCACCAGCAGGTCAGTAGTGATCAATACTCTGCTAGAGCCAGAACGGAACTCCCTCATGATTACATCTCGTTCCTTTTGGTCCATATCTCCATGCTAGAAGAAAAGATACAAGGATGTAGCAGGAAGGCATGTGGAATCTGGCTTTTAGACAGACATAGGCTGGTAGCAAAGGGGAGAGCGCACCATGGCAGACACAGTGAAATCTCGGGCATGCATCTTCTCTGTGAGCCAATCCACCTTCCTTCGGGTGTTGATGAAGATAACCGCCTGGGTGATGGTCAGGGTTTCATACAAGTCACACAGCGTGTCCAGCTTCCACTCCTATAGCAGGGGTGGGGTGGGGGGGGAGAAAAAATTTATCAGTCAGGGGCTATACCCAACAACTCACTACCAGATCCGCCTCCTGTACCAGGCCCCACCTCTCGTTCCACATTGATGTAGAACTGACGGATACCCTCCAGGGTCAACTCTTCCTTCTTGACAAGAATCCGAATAGGGTCCCTCATGAACTTCTTGGTCACCTCAAGCACATCAGAAGGCATAGTAGCTGATAGCAAAACCACCTTTAAAAAAAAAAAAAAAGACTGAAATGGGTGGACACATCAGGGTAGCTTCCTGTTTCCCTAGTCACACCTACAATAGAATGCATTATTTTCATAGCTTAAAAACCAGGATTCCAGGGGCAAGCAGGTAGGCATCTCTTATAGGGGGTGATTTCTCACTTCGTCATTCCAGCGAGCAAATATGCCCTGAAGTAAAAACTTTAAAAAAAAAAAGTAGGCTGAGCTATCCCAGAATCCTGTACAATTCCTCTGGTTCTTCAGTTTTTTTTTCTTAATAGTATTTTTTTTTGAAGACAGGGTGTCATGATATTGCCCTTTAACTTAGGATCCTATCTTGGCCTCCTGAGTAACAGATTATAGAACATGCCCCTGGGGCTATTAATACTGTTCTGTACCCCAACCACACTGTAGTCTACCAAGGAAAGACTAGCTGTACATGTGGCATTGTTAAGTGTGCCTTTCTTACCTGAGTGTTGCTATTGAGCTTTTGGAATATGTCATAGATCTGGTCCTTGAATCCACGGCTTAACATCTCATCAGCTTCATCCAATACAAACATCTTGATATATTTGGGAGCTATAGGAAAATACCATCAGTACATCATCACTATGGAGATGTGAACTACATTCAGAACAGGGAAGGAATACACAGTCTGCTCTCAGAACACAAAGACTGATCCTTTGCCTAGACCTCCCTGGCAGGCCAGACTACAGCCCTGGGCAGTAGAACACCACCTGGGCTGAGCCCACAAGGAAGCCAGGCTCAGATGACACGCATGGGGCTCATCACAGAGCAACTCTCACAGGGGAAAACCAGCATACCAGTACCAGGGCAAGAACTTAGTTGAAATAAATTTGAAGAAGCATGGCCAAGAGAAAATTGGCTTGAGAGCTTGGAAAATCAAGGTACTCACACAGGTATCTCCGGTTAAGCATATCAAACACGCGGCCAGGGGTACCCACAATGATGTGGGGAGCTTCCATTTGCAGCTTCTGCACCTCAGCACGCACGTTGGTGCCCCCAATGCAAGCATGACAGGAGGCACCCATGTAGTCCCCTAGTGCCATGACCACCTTTTGTATCTGAATTCAGAGAGAAAGACAGGTGCTCATCGTACATGAGCTACAACTGCGCCGAGCCCTGCTTTCTATCCTTCTGTTTTTAATCCTTTCCACAGACTATTATGTGCCCCAGGCATGAAACAGCTCTGGCCACCAACCCAGGCATCAAGCTAGGATGAACAAAGGACTGTCTGTCTGCTTTCCCCCTGACTGATAAAAGAAGATCACCACCAAGGTGTCTCTTTGCCCATTGCCAGGGGGCTTGTTCATAAAGAGCCACCAAACTTGCCCAGCCAGCCAGACTCCACCCAACAGCCTTCCATTTGACTCAGGAAATGGGTGGAGGCAGTGGTGGTAGTTATGTTTGGGTAGAAACAGCTTTTAATTAACCTAGTAAGTCTTAAGATACCCAGAGATTATCAACCTATTTCCCTTATTCTACAGTAGCTCACTGACTTTTTGACTTATGTTTGTCATTATTAACCAGTCTGTCAAGTAGGGGAAAATGCCATCTCTCACCTGTTGAGCCAGTTCTCGAGTGGGTGCCAGGACCAAAGCCTGAGTGGCCTTTAGATCTAATTCGATCTGCTGCAAAATCGATATGGCAAATGTGGCTGTTTTCCCAGTCCCAGATTGGGCTTGAGCAATCACATCATAACCTGAACAAATTATTTAAAAAAAAAAAAAAAAAAGAGATAAAAAAGGATCCACTGTAGGTTCATGGGACATTCAAGGCTTAATGAGCCCAATGAACAGTTTCAGTTCAAGCACTGAATGCTTCACAAATGTTTGCCTCACCAGAGTTTAGCAGCACATTAGAATCAATCAGGAAGCAAGATCACATTAACTCATCTATTATCACACTAAGGCTAAACACAGCTGTGAAAGGGTGCTCGCTGGCTACATTAAAAACAAAAAACAAACAAACAAACAAACAAAAAAAAACACCCAGTAATCCATGTGTCCAAGGCATGAACCAGGCAAGAGCACTGACCAAAAGCCAAGCTGGGATGAACAAGGAGTTGCTTTGTCCCCGACTGATATGAGATGGGCACCACCTGCCAGATGCCACTCTACCCAGGCCAGGGACAATTCAAAACCTGGAGCAGGAAGTCTCACCCTTGATACAAGGAAGAATGGCTCGCTGCTGGATGGCAGAGGGCTTCTCAAAACCATAGGCATAGATGCCACGGAGAAGGGACTCTGAGAGGTTCATGTCATCGAAGCTGTCAACAATCTCGTTCCAGTTACTCTGTAGAACACAAAGATATTTGCACATTATTTTACACGCCTTCAAAAACATAAATGTAATGTTCAACATAACACTATTAGGGAGTTAACATGCCTCTAGAATAATAAGGCTTTGCCACTTGTGATTATGTTACGCGTTTACAACCAATACTAGTAAGTTCGGGTTTAAGTTAAACCTAAACCACCAATCCAGAAAAAAGACAGTAGTGATGCTGGTGCAGTGGTTATAGAGGTCCTGCCTCACCTCGATGACGCCTTCGGGCTCCATTCCATCGGGGCCATTGTCTCTGGATCTGTTGATTTAAAGCATAAGATGTTTTGTTCCCTGCCTGACAAGGACATCAGAAATAGTCGACAGCTTTTTCTATCAGTGACTGGCCTGTGTGATGCCTCTGGTCTTTATTCCCAGCTCCAACTTTCACCAGTTCCCAAGAGACTCACAAGAGTTACTCTAAAACAGAGACAAGTCCTTGCTATCCCCACGGTGTTAGGATAACCTTTATGATCCGGAAAGGAGGTGTTCTGCCCTTCTTGATGCCAGGATGTGGCGCTAGCCACTGGGCCCACGTGTCCTGGGCCTGGCGGTCTAAAGCCCAAGCGCGTGCACCTCCCACCGCCGCATCCGT